GTATATACACACATAATTAACAACCTTGATTATTGTATATACACACACACATAATTAACAACCTTGATTATTGTATATACACACACACATAATTAACAAGTAAGGAGTTGCTCAAATCCCCCATTCCTGTAATCACTCTGGCCACATTTGAGCTTTTAATTTCGGAGGCTGTGGAGGGCAGAGCGTGCTGCTCGCCTGAAGCCTGGGGGCTGAGCGGGAACCCAGTGCCTGCTGCCAAGGCTCAAGCCTGGTTTCACACTCGCTGGCTGTGCGCCCCTTTGGGAGGTATCGACCTACCTCTGTGCCTCAGTCCCCCGTTCTTTCAATGGGAACAATACTGGGGCCCACCTTTAAAGCTGTCATGAGGAGTAAATGGGCTAACATGTGTAAAGCACCTAGAAAAGTGTCCGGTCTGGTGTGTGCTGTGTCCCCTGTCATTCCTTGCAGATGGGTTTAGTTAGTCAAGCAATGTTCACGACTCCGAATGACTGCTACCTCATCACAGGTCTGAGCCTGTTTGCTGACATTTCTGCCCCACTTGCACTCGAAGGTCACAGTTGAGGCACTAGTCAATGGGTCCTTAAGTGAAAGTCAGCTGGGGGAGGGCTGGAAAAACTTTTGCTTCCCTTACAAAAGGCTTGTTTATAACTGTCATTACCCTTCATCTCCCTGCTGCCGTCTTTCTACCTTGAAATGAAATGTGATCTCTGGAGTTGTAGCAGCCACCTTGTAACCATGAGGCAAGAAGCTTAAGAGACAAGCCAAAAGAATTTTTAAAAGTGACATCACTGAGCTGCTGAACCAACATCAGCAGCTGCCACCTCCAGATTTCTCATTATATGGACATACCCTTTCTTACTGAAGCCACTGGTAGTCAGATATTGTTACATGAAGCCAAACACATTCCTGACTGACACAGTGTGTTTGTTTCCCACTTATGATCGAGGATCTGTCAATGTCTTTTTTTTTTTTTTTAACCTCAAGTGCAGGAGGTTGAGTTAATCCTACATCATCACTGGTCCAGGTGAGACCCTTCTTGATGGATTAATTAATCGATTGATTCTCTTGTATCCCCTTTTACCTATTTCCTTTCCTCTCCCCTTCACAGGCAACCACCCTGGTGCGGATGTATTTTTGACTTGCATGAGTTCACATTGATTGGCACAGTTTTGTGTGCATACCTATTTTTATCCTACGTAGATGGTACTGTGCTGTGTCTCTCACTTCCTACACTCTGCACTAGGTTCTTCGGATCCATCTGTGTCATGGTGTGTACGTGTCATCTGTTCCTCTAACTGCTGCTCAGAACTCCCAGGGTGCGTCCTCATCTTACCCATCCGCTCCCTGCGTGCTGGACACCCAGGTGACCGCCTTCCCCTCATCACCACCACTAAGGCCGGAGTGATCATCCTTGCACAGTTTCTCTGTGCACCCCTGTGGGAATCTGTCTGAAACTGACACCCGGAAGAGGAATGGCTGAGTCCCATACTCTTGCACATACTTAATTGGACCCAACAGTGCCTGCTTATTCTTCGTGAATGGCAGATCTGAATGGCTAGATCAGAATACCCTCCCTCCAGAAAATTTTGTTTTATCCATTTTTTATCACTTTTTTCTTTGGAGTTTCCAATGTTAGGTACACCAAAATTCAAGGCTGTCTTTGGTGGGGTTCTCCTCTCGCTCATGTGCAATCCCCCTCTTTGTCCTTTTCAAAGCTCTTCTCCTTGAATTCCATCTTATGGAGCCCCAGAGCCTGAGCACTTCCCAATTTTTCATGCAGCCTTTCTGACTCAAAACTCGCGCTTGCTAATCCTATGTGATCAAGACTTATGTCAATGCGTGCAGCTCATGCGTGCCAGCTGTTAAGATGGGAATAATTCTTCTTGATGGATTCTTCAAAACAACAGCCTTTTGCCAGCAAAGAAAAAGAGACTGACTATTAAGAGGTATAGTGGACATCTGTTGTTTATGTCTGCCAGAATCCATTCCTTCTTCTTCTGGCTGTAACACCCCAGTTTTTATCTGGGGATTCACCCCTCTCCTACTCTGAGTCTATGAAGATCCATCTCTCCCCAAGTCCAGTCCTGGTTGATTAGAGTGTTCCACACTTCCAGCCACAGTAATTGGTTCAGCAATGGGCAATTGACCCAGGACATTTGATAAAATTTTTACTCAGGACATTAGCTAGAACTCTTCAGGAAGAGATGCTCTCTTTCTGCTGAGGTTTCTAAGCTTGTAGAATGTAGCCTGGAACTGCCAGAGTCTGCCTTTGCCATGAATGGGGAAATCCTGCTGGAAAGAGGAAACAGAGTTGAGAGAGAGTCAAAAATCAATTATGACTTCATCATTGAGCTACTAGATGTAGCCATTACCTCTGTTTGTTTCAGATGTATGACCCAATAAAGACCCGTGTTGTGAATGAGACAGCTTGAGTTGGATTTCCATCACATACAGCTGAAAAGTGCCCTGACTAATATTAACAAGGGAACTTTGAAAAGTCATAGGAAAATTTATATTATCTGTCAATTCTATTTTTCCAAAAACTTTTTGAAGTACCCTTATACGGTGAGTGGTTGACAGCTTATCCCAGTGCCTACTAGAAAAAATAAAAATCCCTGTCTGTCAAACATCTATTAGGCCACTGCTTTTCTCTTGAAACTCAGATCCTACCTTGCCTCCCCTCACGTGCTCTGTTCCGGCCTCACCAGCCTCCTGGCTATTCTGGAGCACACCAGCTTGTCCCATGTCAGGGCTTGCACTCCTGCTGTCCCCTCTGCTGGAGTGCTCTTCTGCCTGCTTGTCATACGACTGTCTCCTTGTCATGCTTCAGAATTCAGCTCACACACTGACTCCTCAGAGGGACCTCCTTGGCAAGCCCCTCTCGAGGGCCACCCTGCTTTACCTCTGGGCACAGTAACCACACCTACAGGATGCCTTCTTGTTTATTTATTTAAATGTTCTTGCTTAATGCTTTCTCCTCTGCTAGAATCAAGCTGCTGTTCCACCACTGTAACTCCAGTGTCTAGAACAATGCCTGGTTTGTGGAAGATGCTCAATAAATATATGTGAAATAAATGAAGGAAGGAAAGTTAGGAGGAAGAGAGAAAAGAAGGAAAGGGAAAAGGAAGAAAGAGAGAAAAAGACTCTTGAAGGGAAGGGAAATGGGGGGTGGGGTTGGTTTATACCAATGCCCCAGGTTTCAGGACCATCGTCTGTCTCTGTTCACACCCGCAGACTTGGGCCAGAAACAGAGTCAGACACAAGAGCCTTTGAAATCCCATCTCAGAATGTCCCTTGAAGGGAAGGGAAATGGGGGGTGGGGTCGGTTTATACCAATGCCCCAGGTTTCAGGACCATCGTCTGTCTCTGTTGACACCCTCAGACTTGGGCCAGAAACAGAGTCAGACACAAGAGCCTTTGAAATCCCATCTCAGAATGTCCCTCCGGCCTGCTACTTAATTAAATGACCCCATAATGAAATTTCTCCCCACTGAGTCTATATTTAATAATTAATTGACCTCTTCAAGCCCAGCCAGGCTGGGAGTCTCATCAATTATGCATCTTTCCCGTCTGCACTCAACACTCACCACCCAGGAACACAGGCCTGAGTGGGAGAGGTCCAGAGTGACCGGAGGCTAGAAAGGGCCCTTCTGGGGGTGAAGGTCCCCCCAAATGGTGACCTGCTAGGGATGGATGAGGAGAGCTGGGAGGGGGCAGATCCAGTCCCTGAGGCTTATACTATCTAGGGGATCCTCTTTAAAAAGAAAAAGATAAAATTAATATAAAATTAGGCATGAAAGTAAATATTTATTTAGTAAAAATAAATGACAGCCAATTACTTTTTTACGGGTTGGCACAAATCACAAAATCCAGCCAAACAACAATATTTTTATTAATTAGCTGCCTGGCATACTTCAAGAGTTATCAATTCAGCGAGTATTTAAGATTAGCCACTTCACAAGGAAAACTTGAGATGCCCTGAAATGTGGCAGCTCGTGTGGGAAAGAAACTTGACAGCTGTTTCCCCTTTCTGGCCACAGACTCCTTGACTGTTTCTTCTAATAAATACTTTCCACAGAGAAAAAAGAAAGGCAACTCATTCTTTTGTCTAGAAAGATTGATCAGAAGAGTAAATTGACAGTTTAGAAATTTCTTTTGGCTTTATACCCTGTTACTGGTAGTGTCACATACTGTCTTAGTTTGCTAAGGCTGCCATAACAAAGTACCATAGACTGGGTGGCTTAAATGACAAAAATTTATTTTCTCACAATTCTGGAACTACAAGTCCAAGATCAAGATGTCAGCAGGGTTGGTTTCTCTCCGACTGGCTTGTAGATGGCCGTCCTCTCCCTATGTCTTCACGTCCTCTTCCCTTTGTGCGTGTCTATGTCCTAATCTCTTCTTCTTGTAAGGACACCAGTTATATTGGATTAGGGCACACCCTAATGACCTCATCTAAACTTAATTACCTCAAAAAAATTCAAGCAAAAAAATAAATAAATAAAAATAAAATAAACTTAAGTAACTCTTTAAAGACCTGGTCTTCCAATACGGTGACATTCTGAGGTATTGGGGCTAAGGGCTTCAACATATGCATTGGGGTGGGAGGGCTACACAATTCAGCCCATAACACATACATTTGTAGGACAGTTTTCAAATTTGGGGAAACCACTGTCAAATTTCTTTCCTACATGAGCTAAAACATTTCAAGGCATTTCAAGTCTTCTAAGTACAATGGCTAATCTTAAATACTTGCTGCATTGATGATGCTTATCAACTAGTTTGTCAATGACATCCTTGTGCTATGATGCTGACATTGGGCATGGTCAGAACAGGCAGGAGGAGTTTCTGGAAAGCCATTCTCTCTCACCTGAAGGACAGCAATGGCTTAACCTGCACATGACTGTGAGCCACATATAATATCTCATTGCAGCCAAAGTGAATGCAATCCCAACTAAAATCCCCTTTGTCCAGATCCCAAAGTGCAGGAAGAAAGAGTGATCTCAAGGGTTGTAGTTCAAATATCTTTCTTTTGCAAATTTCACAAACGCATGGCCCCCATAAACATGCTGTTCCAATGCACACTCGATTGATTGGAGCTTGCACATTTTGATCTCTACCTTTGTGTCAGGTGACAGCTAAGCCCTGGCCTTTTAATTCTCACATCAACTCTGCAAGAAAGAAATTGTTATTATCCTCCCCATTCTAGGGTGGAGAGAACAGAGGTACAGAAAGGGTAGGTAACTTGAGCTAGGTAATATAGAATGAAATGGGGGATCAGGAAGGAAAGAGACAGAGAAGAAAGAGATCAACTGACTGGTTTTTGGTATGTAAGGGGTGGGGTAGAAAAAGGAGAGGAGAAGAAAAGGGAGCAGGGAGAGAAGAGCGAAGGTAGTAGAGTCTCAAGGGATGAAATGAACCCTGAGCCCAGAAGTGGAGAGGAAGGGGTGACCGGCACTCACTTTGCAGACGTCATGACTTTGCCAGGCACCGTTTTCTTTTTATCATTATTATATATCTGAGGTCTGTCCTATAGGTAGGGCTTCACTCAGTCATTCAGTTTAGAGATTCAAAAAGACATAGCGACTTAAGAAGGGGATGAAGGGACTCACAGGGGCAGAGTGGGGTCTGAGCCATACCACCACTGCCCTGAGCCACTGCCGTGGGGAATGACTCCTTTAGGGGCTGGTCCCTTAGCCCCTCCCCATGAAGGCTTAAACAGCCTAGGTTAACCCTGACTGCCCACCTGAAATTTCCCTATCACCAACTGAGTTTCTCCTTGCCTCCACCCAAATTCCCCCTGTGGATCCCTCAGGCCTGATTCACTGCGCTAGCTTGTCTCCTAAACTGAGTGGAGCTGGGGTGTTCCTTTCTAACCTCTTTTGCAACAGCTGCTGTGTGCTGAGTTCCAGGCACTGTGCTAGACACTGGGAATATAACCATGAACAAGCCAAAGTCCTGCCCTTCTGGAGTTGACATTCCTTGGGGACTGTATTAGGGTAGGCCAGCTGCTATGACAAACAACACTTGAGTCTCAGTTGCTTAATTTAAAAAAGAACAAAAAAGGTTTATTTCTCATTCACATCCACAGGATGGCAGAGCAGTGCCTCGGGGGCCCTGCAAGTCCTCTCATCTCATGCTTCTGCTGTCATGAGCCTGGTGATCTTAATCCCTTTTGTGCCATAGACCCCTTCGGTACTGTGCCAAAGCTTATGGACCTCTTTGTGGAATAATGTTTTTAAATGTAAGAAATAACATATCTAGGATTATAAGGGATGCCAATTATACTGAAACACAATTATCAATTTTTTTTTCAATTTGTATATATAGTAATATGTATGCTTCTTTATTAACACATTAAATAACAAGACATAGTGGTAGGTCTAACGACTACCATAATTGTGATGTAGTGATGAGTGTAAATCTAGGATTGGCAAACTACAGTTGATGAGCCGAATTGGTAGGCCTGCCACCTGCTTTGTAAATAAAGTTCTATTGGCACACAGCCACACTCATTCATTTACATAATATCTATGACTGCTTTTGTGCTATGGCAGAGGTGAATAGTTGCAACAGAGTCCGTATGGCCTAAAATAGTAACCATCTGTATCTTTACAGAAAAGGTTTACTGTAAACAACATTTTTGAGACATTTGGAGCAACTCTCATGTGATATGAAAACATTTGTAATTTATCCTGGGGAAAAAGTGACAGGACTTGCTGCTGCTATTATGGCTTGCTGGCTGCATTCATAATTGAAGGAAATGATAATTTTCAATTAGAGATGAGTGAAGTAAAGAATCAGCTTTTACAAAATCCAAATTCAGAGTTCCCTGCTCTGCCTTCTAGCCACAGAGCCTTTGGGGGTCTATGGATTGACCCCAGGTTAGAAAGTCCAAGTTAGAAAGCCCTCTTCCAGGGCTTCAGAGGTTCCCCTCCCCCATCCTCTGCACCCACAGGTGATGTGGGAAGAGAGCAAGTCTGGAGGATCCTGCAGGAGGTTCTACCCAGGACTGAAGGTAGAGTCCCTCACTTTCACCAGTCACAGGGCCACTCCCAGTTTCAAGGGATACTGGGAAATATAGTTAAGCAGTGTGCTTAACACAGATATTGGGGAGCCCCACCAACAAACAAACAAATGAATACATGGTATGTCAGATGGTGATGAGTGCTGTGGTGTCAAATAAAGCTGAATGAAATGAACAGGGAATTCTACCATAAATCATGGTTTTAAATAGTATAGCCAGGAAAGGCCCCACAGAAAAGGCAACACTGAATAAAAATCTGAAGATTCTAAGCTCGTGAATTTCTGGCGAACAGTGTTGCAGGCAACAGGAATAGCATGTGCAAAGGCCCTGAGCCAAGAGCAACTGTGACGATTTTGAAGGACTGAGAATCAGCCACTGTAGACATTTTGTTTGCTGTTTTTTGTCTGTCTGCCCCACAAGAATGCCAGACCACGAAGAAAGACTTTTCCTATATTTTGTTCACTGCTGTTTCCCAAATGCCTAGAGCAGTGCCTGGCACATAGTACGCACCTTCCTGTGGATGCTGCCTGAATGAGGCAGGGTCTGGGTATTCCAGGGAGACAGGAGTATGAAGGAGAGCAGACAGGTGTCCTCAAGCAAGACCACTCAGGGCCATAGGCCACGGTAAGGATCAAAACTTTATCCCTGTGGAATAGGAAATTATTTTAGCATCAAGGGACAAGCTCTGATTTTCATTTTGAAAAGTTCTCTCTGGCTGCTGTAGGCTGATGCTGCTGTAGGTGAAAGCTTGACAAAGTGACACTGAGAATGTGCGTTCAATTCACCCCGCCTCTGGGGCAGCAAGTGAGAAGTGTTCTGAGAGGTGAGGGTTGGAACAGAAGGACCCCTTATCCTGGAGTTTCTCTGCTGAGAAAGGCCTCATATTGGGCCTTTGGAAATTACATCTAAATGAGCTCTCTTCTCAGTCCCAAGGACCAAGGGGCAACTGATACAAAGATGAGACTCCCCATCTGACAGGACCCTGTGCATGTTGCCGGCTGCCCTGTCTGCAGCGCCCTGGGGAACTGCAATTGTACAAATCAGTCCTGTAAACACCTTACAAAAAAGCACAATTTGATAGCACCTGGATTTGGGGGAGGGGGACGCTGTTCAAAAGGGTTGACGCAATTAATGTAAACATGTAAAGTAGGACATTTCAAAACTCTGCCAGGGCATTTCATATGCATACCTGGAAGAGCAAAAATGGAGGTGAAGAGACTCCCCCAACACTACTGACAGTCTCTTAGGGACAGCCTGTACCGGGAGTCCCTGGTGGGGCTACAGCTCGCTGGGTGCTCTTGGGTGCCAGGCTGGTCCTACCTACAGTCTCCTCCAATGAGCAAGGTGACAGGAGCTAAGGGACCCCTTGGAGCTCAAAGGTCCTGGCGGAAGGAGACTCCGGGATGAGACAACGAAGTTGGGGGGATGTTCTCCCCGCTCCCTAGCCCAACACCTTTCGCCCTCGGTCTCTCTCTCCACACCCACCCCAGCCCCGGCTGGAATGCCCCGGGGAGGCCGCCGCGGTAATGACCCCTCGACAGCTGCGCTCCCCGCGAAGCAGGCGCCCCCTCCCCGAGGCTCCCTGCCCTCCTCCCCGCCGCCTCCGGAGACAGGTTCGCACCTGCTGGAGGCCATTTCTCATCAATTAGGCCTTGGCAGCGCTTGAATGGGGCCCGGCGAGGGCGCGTCCCGGCGGCCCCTTCCCGCGCCGCCCCCGGCCTCCCCCGGCGGCCCCGCGCTCACAGATGGCAGCTCGGGCGCAGCTGCCCGCCGGGCTCGCGGGGGCCACAATCGGCCCAGTGTTCGCAGCCCCCAGGTTGGGCAGGGGGCCGGGCACACCTGCGCGGCGCAGATGGTGTCGCCGGCGGCAGCAGGCACGGGAGGCTCCTCCAGGGACTGGGAGGCGGGACGACAGCGGCCCCTTCACCGCAAGGCGGTTCCCTTCCGAGCGTGGAATCTGATGGGTAGGGACACCGAGAAAATGTCAAGGGGCGGTGGGACTAAGCCACGCTCTTGGCCCATCACCTCGCCGAGCTGTGCGTCCTTGGACAAATGACTTACCCAGTCTTCCTTGCTGCCAAAGGACGGAGACCCTTTTGAATAGTAACCTAAATGCCCAACAATAGGGGATTGACTAGAAAATGTGTGTTGTGGTTCTGCAGACCACTGGCACGCAGCCGCTAAAAATATGCTAAAGAAAGGCAAGGGATGAAGCGATATGTTCAGTGTAATCCTACTTTGGGGATCCCGGTTTGAATTCAGGCTCCGTTGCCTTTGAACTCTGTGAGCTTGGTGAGATTACTTCACCTTTGCCAAGATCAGTTTTCTCATCTGTAGAATGGTATTATAATAACAGGGTTGCTGCAGGAGCTAAAGGAGATGATGCTTGAAAGTGCCTAGCGTAGGGCCTGGTACACAGAAAGTACCTACTAAGTATTTTTCCCCTTATTTCGTATTATAAAAGTAGCACTGCTAAGAATTCACTTTATCAAGTTATATAAGATTAAAAGCTAACGTACCCTATAATTTCACCTTCACCTGAGATAACCATTAATAACAGTTTTGAGTTTTGCCCCGTGATTTTTTTCTACATTATATGTACATACATAACTATAGATTCTAAAAATCAAATGAGGAGCAGTATAACTTGGCTAATATTGGACTCTGGGGCTAGACTGCCTGCACTTAAAAACCTGACTCTGCTGTTTCCCTGCTGTGTGTCCCTGAGAAACTTACTTAACTTCTCTGGACTGCAGTTTCCTCATCTATAACCTTGCAGGAAAGTTGTGAGATTGACTGAGCTAAGACACACAAACATTTTGAACAGTGCAAATGGAAATACTAGCTTTATAGTAAATGCCGTTTTGTAACTTGTTTTTCTTAATGTTTCTTACATGTTCTTCTGTGCTGGAATAGCCAAAACAATAACATTCATATTAACAGCTATAGGATATGCCATTCTGAGATGGACCATCACTCATTTCAGCAGTTCTCTTTTGAGGGATTTTTGGGTTGCTTCCCCACACTACAGTGAACACCCTTGAATGCATATTGTTGTGCCCTGGTATGTGAGCTTTTACAGCATCCGGTCCTAGGGGTGGTATTTGCTGGGTGAGAGACCATGTGCATTGGCTCACCTGGGGCCAGAAGTCAGGTGAAGTGAGTGAGGCACTCAGGCACAAAATTTATAAGGATTCCAAAAAAGCCTTAGTAATCAAGAAAAATCGTATTTTAATGCAATATTTTTAAAAATCAGAATTAATGCTAAAGACAATCCACAAAGAACAAAATATAAAATTTTTCAAACAGGATCTGACTCTCTGTTCTCTCTGCTTCCACCATCTTGCAATATGAGACCCCTGGGTCACTGTCACTACCACCAGATGGACTTTGGACTTCCCAGCCTCAGAAACTGAAAGCAATAAATTACATTTTCTTTATATAAAAACAAAACAAAACAACAACAAAAAAAAACAGGATCTGACAGTGCCATACTGGTATTCTTGGAGCCTGTGACCAAGGAAAAATGTGCCTCTATATACATACTTATATGTTTTCTTTAATAGTAATTTTTTCCCAGAACATTAAGTAGTTGAAAAAAATTACTGAAAAGTTGTAAGAATGTGTATTTAAAATGACAACATTATTTTATGTTTAAATATTTTATTTATACTCAAAACAGAATTTGTATCAATTTTATTTTCCTGGCTTTAGTGGAAGCAAACTCATAGTTAATATTTACAAAATCTACATCTGGAAAGAAATTAGCTATGAAAAGATTAGATAAAAACATATATAGTAAGGATGCACATTTTTTCCTTTGGCCTTAGGCTCCAAAATGAATGGATAAGGCACTGGATATTGTCAATTTGTCTTTCCAAAAGTTTGCACCAATTGACACTCCCACTGACAGCAGGCTCCACTTTTCAAGCAACTTTTGGGATTAAGCTGCTTTCAGCTGAGGGTCATTATCTCTACATCTGGGCCCTTGTGTGAGAGGAGCCAGGAGCTAGTATGCCTACCTGGGCTGGCTCTCCCTGTGGGAACTACCCAAAGGGATCTGCCGAAGCCTGGGCCAGCTCAGGTTACCACGGGCTGGGAGAACTGCCTTATCTGAGATCTACAAAGCCCCAGCACCTCATTCTCAGGAAAACTTTCTAACTCTGGGGTAGACGAACTCTAAAAACCCAAGAGCTGCCTTGGGGGCAATGGAAGCAGCTCCTGGATGGAATAGATCTGGGACCCCTGCTGAATAATGTCATGAGTGTCTCCTTACCTGCGCCATCCAGAGCTGCTCCATCCATTCATTTCTTTATTCCCTTAGTGGATACCCCGAGCCACTATGAGCAGCCCTGAGTCAAACCCTGGGACGAAGGCAAGTTAGTCACGGTCTCTGGAGCTCAGAAGAGCAGACGGACAGGAAAAAAAGCGTTTCCAAGACCCTTTCATGTCCACGATTATCTCACCACAGTGTCCCCAGAGACTTAAGAACACTTGAGCCAGACATAATTGGATGTGAATGGGCATCTCAGTCTTACCATGTCTGAAGCAGTGATACTAATAACAATGATAATCGTAATAATGACAGCATGTTTATTGCACCAGGCACTGTTTTAGGGTCTTTATATACATTAACTCACTCAGTCCTCATCAGGACCTGGTGAAGCACTATTTGTAGTTCCACTTTACAGATGAAGAAACTGAGGCATAAAAGGACTTAGTCACGTCCCTAAGTTCCTACAATTGATAAGTGGCAGTGCTGGGATATGGCCCCAGGGGTCTGGCTCCAGGCTGTGTTCTTAACTGTGACATGTGGTCTTCAGTTCCTCCCTGTTCTCCCTCAGCCTTTCTCATCTCAGAAAATGGCGCCACCAAAAAAACTTTTTTTAAAATCCAGGCACCATTTGTATACCACTCTTCCCCAAATTCACATCTGACTTCTCATCATTCAAATATCATTTGGGTTTCCCTGGATGCAGTCACCAAAGCAGGGCTTCGAGGGTATGAGGTTTATTAGGGAGATGAGAGGTGATGAGACAGGGCACAGGAGGCAGCTGACACAGCATGCCTTATCAAGTGACTACCACAGTGGGCAACCAGACAGCTTCATCCCGGACAAACTGTGGGCAAGAGCCATGGGCAGACACACACCTCAGAACTAGTCTGACCAAGGGGCACATTTAAACACCACTTCCTGAGGGTTATTGGTTGAGATCTGTTGGGAGTGGGGGTGGTGTTAAATCGTGGGCACTTCCTCCAGCAAGGAGCAAGTCCTTCCAGTTTCAGAGAGAAGCATCCCAGGTAAAATTGCAAGTGCTGTCCATTGAAAGTTACTAGAGCATCTTGGGACTGTTTCTTTGTTCCTTGCCTACTCCTTCTCATCCTTGAACATAAGAGAAGACACAGAAGAGAAAAAAACCATAAAGACTGTGTTACCAAGTAGGTTCCCACTGTGGGCAAATGGAGCTTATCCCACTGGGGCACTCTGAGAGGCAGCGCAGACAGTGTGCCTCAGCGCGATCCCACCTGTGGGGAGGGGGAGTGGAGGTATTTATCCCCCAGCCTCCTTTGTGATTGCTTGGGAGCTGCTTCTGGGGGCATTAACTCATCAGCACTTCCGGCTTACCCTGAACATGGGCCAACCGTGCTCCTGGAGTCATAAAAAGAGCCTCAGGAGGAGATTACAGGTGTTTGCAGTGAGCGTTTTTGGTGAAAGGAAGGGCAGTGCAAGAGGATGGAGAAGGGGCAGCCACTGTGGCTTACAAACAGCTTACTGGTATGCTTTGAATGTGTGTCCTGCCAAAGCTCATGTTGATGCTTAATGCTCAATATGGTACATGAATGGTGGGGCCTTTAACAGGTAATCGGATAGTGAGGGCTATGCTATTCTTTAATAGATTAATGCTACCCATTCATAGATTAATGGATCAATGTGTTAATGAATTAATAGGTTATCATAGTAGTAGACTGGTGGCTTTATAGGGAGAGGAAGAAAGTACATTAGCACACTCTTACCCCATGAATTGCCCTGTGCCTTGTGACTCTGCAGAGAGTCCCCACCAGGAAGAAAGCCCTCACCAGATGCACCCCCTTGACCTTGGACTTCCCAGTCACCAAAACTGTAACAAATAATTTTTGTTTCTTTATGCAATACCCAGTTTCAGGTATTCTGTTATATGAGCAGAAAACTAATTAAGACACTTGCTCATCAGGAGAACCAGATGATGGCCACCCTTTAGTAAGCACCAACTGTTTGCCAGGAATCACAC